AGGGCACGCTGGAACTGATAGGGCAATGCCTCACATGCCCTAACAAATGCGGAGCCATTTGTTAGGGCATGTGAGGCATTGCCCTATCAGTTCCAGCGTGCCCTGTGCACGCTGGCCAGCTGACTTTGCCCTTCTTTTGAGGCCGTTTTTCGCCCTCCGGAGCCTTCAGGGAAGCCTCCTGAAGACTCCGGAGGGCGAAAAACGGCCCTATGGCCAAACCAGAAGTCACCATTCCCAAACTTCCAGTTTTGCTGTAGGGCCATTTTTTGCCCTCTGGAGGCTTCAGGGAAGCTCAGGGGGCAGGGGAGGGTATTTTTGTCTTCCCCAGGCTCCTATAAAGCCTCTGGAGCCTGGGGTGGGGGGAATCGCACCAAAAGTGTGGGGGAGTTCTGGTCTCGCGCGCATGCATACTTGGGTCACACATGCACGCTGGGGTCGCACATGCATGCGTGCTGGGGTTGCATGCATAGCATGGGTGTGGCACGCCTGTGCACGACCCCCCCCCCCTGTGCTCCCCCTGCTTTTGGCCCGCGATCCAAAAAAGGTTAGCCATCACTGCGCTATCCCATTCTGGACAAATGTTTCTTCAGTTATCATTCTTTTGAAATAGTCACCATTCTGGCTTGGGGGGAAGAGACAGATGTTGTGCGTTTGGTTTAAAAGAGCCACATAAATCAGTTTTCCAGTGGGCTGGTGCTGTGAGAAAGAAGATCCTGGATCCCACCAGGAAACCTGATTTAATTAAAGGGAAGCGGAGCGTGTGAGTGGAGCAGGTTCCTAGTTAATCTCGTAATAATGGTTTTAATAATTATTTTGCTGCTTTGTATCATCCACAGTTGATTGGTTTTTAGAGATCAAAAATTTAAATAATAATTGCCAAGAAAGTCAGAACAGAAGTTAGAGCAATGTATGAAGGCTCTAGAAACAGGCCTTTTCAGTCCCTGCCCATTTTGTGGAATTGGGTGTCCCCACCACAAATTTAGTTAGTTAGTTATCAAACTTGTAGGCTACCCAGTCCACCAAGGCATCACTAGGCAGTTTCAAAGGCAGCTCTGTGCTCCCCATATCCACCTTTTGCTGGGTCTTTCCAAAGACCCACCATGCTGAGGGGCATCTGGTTTGGTTCCTCTTTTATTATCTTAAGAGTTGTTCTTGTTTCTCTTATTATGACTCTTGTGATATGACGAATTTGCATTTGGCTGTTCTGAATAGGTCTCTGGGTCTGCATGGGATCATGGAACCATTAGCAAATAAATGCATTTATAAATCAACTGGTTAAGGCACTTGCTGGATTTTAAGTCTGTATGACAGTTTCTGGTTAGGACTCTGGTAGTAAAAAGAAAAATTCAGTAGTTTTTTCTTTCTTTCTTTCTTTCTTTCTTTCTTTCTTTCTTTCTTTCTTTCTTTCTTTCTTTCTTTCTTATTAGCCATGTCCGGTGAAAACAGGGAAAACACCCTTTTTTATTCCGAAATCCCCAAAACGGTAAACAAGGCTGCCATTCTTATGCTGTCTTGGAAGCCTCTTATAGACCTCTTTCAGGTATGTTGTTTGGTTATTTCTTCCCTCTTTCATCCCTCATCTTTTTCCCCATCCTGAAAGTGAACTAGAGTTCCTGTCTGAATCCCTGGTACAGAGATGAGGGGTCAAAAAGTCAAGATGGAGCCCAGGGCTTCAATCTCAGGGTTGCAGTCACAATCTTGACTTTTTCAACACTTCTTCTCATCTCAGTGCCTCTGAAGCTGCACCAATCAATTGAAAGCATTGTCTAAAACATTTGCTAGATACCTTGGGGTTGGGACAACTCAACATAGCCAACTCACCAGGGCCAACTCAACAAGACCAATTCATCACAGCCAACTCATCAAAGCCAACTCACTACAGTCAACACACCACGGCTAAATCACCATGGTCAACTCTCCATGGCCAACTCACCAAGGCCAACTCATCATGGCCAACTCACCATGGCCAACTCATCATGGCCAACTCACATGGCCAACTCATCAAGGCCAACTCACCATGGCCAACTCACCAAGGCCAACTCATCATGGCCAACTCACCATGGCCAACTCATCATGGCCAACTCATCATGGCCAACTCACCACGGCCAATTCATCAAGGCCAACTCACCAAGGCCAACTCACCAAGGCCAACTCACCAAGGCCAACTCATCATGGCCAACTCACCATGGCCAATTCATCAAGGCCAACTCACTACGGCCAACACAGCACGGCTAACTCACCATGGCCAATTCACCACGGCTAACTCACCATGGCCAACTCACCAAGGCCAACTCATCATGGACAACACGCCATGGACAACATGCCATGGGCAATTCATCACAAACAACTCATGGCCAACTCGCTGTGGGACAACTCACTATGGGCCAACTTGTTGCGGGACAATTGAACAATTCTATTTAATTATTTAAAATAAAATAAAAATATTTTAATTTTTACCATTCACATTTTACTCTGTTCCTCCTTTTGCATCCTTTCTTTAATGATTCTATTCCACCATTTCTTTGATATT